GCTGCAAAATATTTCTCGTGTAAGTGGTAAAGGGCTTTGGTGCAGGCGTCTCCGTCCTTATCGAAATTTTTGGGCGAAGGCCCCCGAGCTGTGGGAAGTAGGGGATGGGGTTTGTGTAGCCAAAACAAGCCATAGCTTCAGACGCCAAACAGCGGTTTTCGCACCACAGGTACCCGCCGGTGTCTCCGCCGCATTTCCCGGCCCCCGACGGCCGCCCGCACCCCCGCCACCCGGGTCCGGGTTGATGGAGGCTTGAATCTGGCCGGAGAGCGCTGGGAGTTACCTCGATATCACCCCCGAGGAGCCCCAAAACGACAAAGGAACGGCGACCAGCGCGGCAGGGGGACTGTGGGGCGGGTGGACGAAGCAAACGGATTCCCGGTCCCCGACCCCTCCATTCGACCCTGGGTGGGGTAACCGGAGTCGCGGGGGCCCCATGACCAACCCCTTCTAGTCCAAACATCGGCACGCCGGGGCGCCGCACCGGTGTCGGGGGACCGAGGCTCCGTATTCCCTGGAGCAAGGAAGAGKGGGGAGAGTCTTGTGCTCAGGGTCCAGGCCCCGTCGGGGCAGCGGGCTGTTCGCACAGACCCGACATAGCCCCAGCACTCCCGGTTCCTCCCCGCCGCCCGGGAGAAGTACACCGGAAAATTAACTTTTTCCTCTTATTTTTCTTTCCTCCTCGGAATCCGCCGGCGGGCGAAGCTAGCCCCTCAGCTTCAGGTATGTCCCGATAGCCAAGTGCCCGAGCAGCGCTGTGATCTCCCGCTCCACGACCCCGCCCCGAGGGGCGCCCCGGGGATCTCCCCGGCGGAACGGGGCGGTCTAGGCACGCCGGGAAGATGGTCGTCGGGGCTGAGAGGTGTCTGGTAGTAAGCGTTCCCCCGGGGGCGGTGAGGAGCGCCGGGGGCGCGGGGATCCCCCGAGCCCCGAGCCGGCGCTGTCCTTGGTGCTGGGCCCGCCCCGAGAGCCGCCGAGCCCTGCCGACACCTGCAAAGCCTGGTTAGGGGGCTCCGAGATTCCCTGGGAAGAATGGCAACCTGCCCCTTGATATCTGCCCCTATTGCGCCGCCGCTTGTAGGGAACGGGCTTGGCTTTGATCACACCAGYGACTTCGTGGCGTGGGGAGCCCATGGGAAACACTGCGAGAAGCACCGCACCGCCTCCCACTGCGCTCACTGCTCGCAGTTCTGCATCCCCCTTTCCCGCCTCATCTCCGAGAGGATACACACTAAACTGCGAGCAAGTGCAAAGGAAAAGATTTATAATCCAAGCAGCCATCACCACACGAAAACACCCCAAACAAGCCAAAACTCCCAAACAACAAAACAACCCATCAACTTCTGAAGCACCTATCAAGGATTGTGTGAAGGGCAGATTGCCCCCAGCCAGCCCCTCCATCTGCAAATGAATCAAAAGCTGTCTCTAATCTAAGAGAATTAGATGAGAAAATCAGAGGGAAAACTGACCAAACAAACGGCAAAACTGAGAACACCTGGCTCGCTGAAAACAACCATACCAGCATTGGCAAGTTCTGTGAGATGTTAGGGATTTTCTCCACAAGCAATGGACAAGCAGGCCAGCACACAATGTTGTGGGGTATGTTACTTTATACTTGCATATTGTGGGGAGACAGCAAGGGCTTTACTATGGAAAACATTATTGTTTGGTGAGTTGAGTTGGAAAGRGGAGTAAAGCAGTCCCAGGAAGAAGGGAGATGAGCAGGAAGCTGGTTTCTCTAATTGCAGCACCTTTAAAGACAGAATTCTGGAAACAGCCTCTTACCAGGCATTAGGGGATTAGGTAGGGCACCAGCAAAGAGAAAAGGAAATGACAAAAGGAGATGACCAAGGCCTCTCCTCAGAGGGATCAGCTCTCTCCTTTGCTGCATTTACTGGGAGATAACTGATGCTAGTGTCTCTGCTGGGACAAACCAGCCTGCAGAACCATCCCCCAGGCATATTCATATTTACTTGACCCCGTGGAGGGATGCAGTGTGGAGGAGTAGGAGATGCTTCACAGTGGGTTCTCCTTTCTCAGCCTCCCCTGAAAGAATGTCCAGCATTGGGCAGACCCTCTCCCTGCATCCCACAGAACCCTGTGCCAGCAGTCAGATGAGGGTGGTGAGTGTTTTAGCACTGTTTTTATTTCCCACTCATGTTTCACCTTGTTCCTGCAAGGCGAGAAGGTGGTGCGAAGTCACTGCCTGGAGCAGGTGTGTGGAGATCACTCAGGAATCAAACATGAGAAATCAAACTTCTCAGGTGGTAGTCTGTGCTGGAAATCCCTTTCCCCCTGGAAAGCGTCTGGAGTTATTAGTTTCAGTCAGAAAAATGAAAAAAAAAAAAAAAAGAAAAAAAGGCCACAGATAGGATAGCAGAAGTGCTTCCTCTCTCCAGGTTCTTAACCCAAACAGGCCCATGGGGGGGCTGTGTGCTCCTTCCCAAGCATTGCTCCCTGCCATGGGGTCAGGAGGTCATTGAGGGCCATGTTACTTAAAACAGGCCCCTTTAAAAGAGTTTATTCTTCCCAAGAGCTTAGGGGGACTCAACTGCAAGGCAGCAACCCATGGGCACTTCTACCAGCAAAGTGATGGCTTGGAAACAGAGAAACTTTTGGGTTTTTTTGTGGGTTGTTTTCAATGAAATTAAGTGCAGGTATTACGTCCCCCAGACTAGGTGCAGCTCACCTGTGCTTCTGAGAGGCCCTCCCATACTTTGTGTAATTATATTGCATTATATTGTATTATATTACATTGTATTGTATTAATTATATTATATTGTAATTTAAATTGACTTAAAACAAGAGCTAAATCTTTCTAGTGGTACCAGTGTGTATTGGAGGAGAAGGAAGTGAGAATCTTCACTGTCACTAAATTCCCATCCCCAGGCTCCTTCCTTCTCATCAAAAGGTATTTTGACTGAAAAGGAAACTTGGAGTATGTTGGTCCTAACTGAAGAATGTGATTATTGTGCTACTGATGGACCAAAATAAATTCTGCAGCTCAGGAAAGGGTTTTCTTCATATTAGATCCAATATCTGTATCTTTATATGGGGATAGCTGAAATAATAAAAATCACAYAGAATGAATAAAATTAAACCCACTGGTCACTATGGGCTTGATAAGAGAGGAGCTAATGGTATTTTTCACATTTGACAAATTTTTTTTTCTTTTAATTTAAGTTTTTGATTGTCACCATTTAAATGACATTACTTAGGATGCCAAAATTTAGAGATGAAGTAAAGCTGCTTGTCTGAATCCACTTTGAAGTAAGAATGCTAGTGAGTTTGAAATCCAGATCTACGAACTAATCTCTAGTTTTCCCTTCAAATGGAATTCAGCTACAAAGAGCTTGGAAAGATTTTGCATCTATTCAGGAGACACATCTTTAATTTTCTGAGGAGCAAAAAATCCACAAGAAACTTCATATAGCTCCTTAGGTTTTGCTTAGCATATGTGATAAAACATTGATTGTTGCAGCTTGGTGACCCATGAAATTTGGGGGTTAGTTTTCTCTTCAGACCAGAGCATATAATTATGCAAATAAAGAGCTGTCACTGATCTAGTGAAATACTCTGAAACACATGCAATCCAAAATGGAACAGAAAAGTGAAATTTGTGGTATTATGATGGTACAATGATAAATGACATCTCCTTTCAAGTTTTTCTAGAAGTACATTTTTCACACTTTGTCGAGTACATCAACATAATGCGGGCGCACACACACACGCACACACATCCCTGTGAAATCGAGATACCCATGAATGCGTGCAGTCACACACACACACACACACACACACGCATCCTTCCGCTCTCTAAGATGTAGCTCTACCCTGGTGTACGATGGATGTACACATTCTTGGCAGGTTATTTTTGGTTTGGTTGACTTGAGAATGGTGCAATATGTGGCTCCATTCAGTTTTAGATGTGACACTTTTCATRTGTACTTCCTGAATGAAGTTTCTAGAGGGGAAAAAAAACCCACTACACACAACAAATGATGTTTCTCAGAGACAGAAGAAAAATGCACATTTCCATGAAAAGCAGCAGCTTCTTCTGAGTCCAGGAGAATCACACTGCGAGGACTGTAACTATAACCAGTGTATCACCATGCAGATGATGGATTTCTTTTTTTTCCCCTTTTTTTTTCCTTTTCCCCCATAACTCTACTGTGTTTGGGGGTCTGCTGGCAGTCTCTTATGAGGAATCCTTTTCTGCTCTCCATTCTTGACAAGGAAGCACCTGCTTTCATTGGTCCATGGCCTCAACGTTGGCATTTTGACTCACACAATGATGTGCAAACCTTTAGGGTGGTGAGAAGCTGGGGGATTTTCCTAGATCCTATCGTAGGGTTCTTTTGTTGGTTTTCTGTTATTGTTTTGGGTTTGAGGCTTTGTTGTGATCTTTTCTGTGGTTTTTTTTTTTTTTTTTTTCCCTTTTGCACACCCCATTCCAAAGTTACCCAGGGAGGAGGCTGTTGCAAGGTGTCTGATGTCAGGGAGCTTTCCTGTGATGAACCAGGTGCAGGCTGATGACCTCTGTCTCCTAAAGGCATTGTGGCATGAGGAGGGTGAGCCTCATTTGTGCCACAGAGYAGGCTGTGTCCAGCCCCATGGCTCAGCCCATGTGGGTGTGGGCTTCTCCCCACTTCCCATAACAAACATGGGAAGCGACATAGGTGAGTGTGCCTCACCATCCTCCCCGCTTTAGCTGTTCATAAACACAAAAACATATAAAAATACACTGCAGGAGAGGGGTTTGATCAGTCCCTTGGGGAGAAGGACCTTTTGCAGTGGGGCATGTGCTGGAGATGAAAGAGGCAACACTCCTCACACCTTCCACCCCCAAACCTGCAACTGGTATGGGGTCCTGTTTGCAAACACACCTCATCTGCCCCCCTCACATATTCTGAGGCTGGTGAAGCTGCTCCCCACGCAGCCCCACCCTGCACACCAGACACTGCAGCTCTCGTGGAGCTCGGCGCAGGGACACAAACCATGCAAGGAGGAGAGAAGAGAGCATCTTTATTTTTTGTTCACTGCAAGCAGAGCAGTACCAGTGATGATCCCCTCTGCTCTACAGCCCCCCATCGGAGCAATAATGTGAGCTGGGCCCGGGGCACAGTAAAGAAAAATTATTTGAAAAATGGCAAGCATTATAGTAATAATTTGTGTCCAGTTTGTACCTCATCAACAGTTAAAAAGAAAGACCTGCTCCTCCAATATTTGGGCACCCTAGAGACTCCATCTGAGATGGATAGTGGCAGGTGTGGTGTGTGTGTGTGCACATGCTAACTTCCCTGGCCTCTGCATCTTCCCCGGATGTGGGACAAAGCACAGACACCCAAACCACGCCGCGTAAACTCTCACCTTACCCCTAAACACACAGGGTCTGGGGGGCCGGGGTGGACAAGGGCTGGGGAGGGGGAATTGCAGACCCCTGCGGTAGGGATCAGGCAGCAGCATCTTCTGACTGGGGGTGAATACAGAGTGGAGGGCAGAGGAAGCTGGGTGCAGCCCTCTCCCCTTAGCAACACACTTCCCTCAGGAGAAAAGCTGCTGGTCACAGATCCTGCACCTCTCTTGGCACAGGCACAGACCGACACCTCTCGCACCCTGCCCGGGCACAGCTCAAACGCAGCGAGATGACAGGAAGCAGGAACTGGGGGAGTGCAGCCCTGCTGCCAGTATGAGCAGGTAGGGATGTGAGCACTCTGTGGGTGCCAAGACCCCCACCTGCAGGATTTAGGCCCAAATGCAGCTGGGCTCCCCTTTGCACCTCACCACTCCTGGTCCCCMGCTGTAGGATTGGACACACAGCATGAGGAGAGGATGGGGCTGGGTCCCAAACCCTTGTGTTTAAGCGCCTCCTCATTCATCACTAACAGTATCAGAGGTGAGGTGGGCATGGCCAGTAAAGACCACTTTAATTTAGTGTTATTGACACTAAAGAAGCCTAATTAGAGTGCTTGCTCACTGAGCATGCTATCAAGCACATCTTTTCCCTTAGTTTTAGTGGAGAAAGTCTGCCTAAAGCAATAGTTATGGCTACAGCCATATATCCCCAATGCATGGTGTGGAGTCCCCACACTGAGTACACTGCTGGCTGACCTATGTCTGAGAGCCTGGGAAAGTGGGGATGAACCCGTGAGCGTAGGGAGAAGGGAAAAAACACAGAATGGCAAGTCATTACAAACCCAGCATACAAAAATGGAAGCATCTCTGTGTTTAAAAATAAACAGGAAAATATGCAGTGTGTCTTTTTTTTTTTTTTCTGTCATATTTCACAGTGTAATCCAGCTTGTTAATGAATAGGCATTTTTTTTTAAAAGTAGAGCTTTCCAAAGGGTGAGAAGACCTACAGATAATGCCATTGATCTAGTAAGAGAATATCTCTACAACACTGGAGCCTTTCTAGAATTCTGGGCCAAACTTCTTGCACACTCTTGCCAGCAGAAAAATTAAAGAGTTAAAAATCAATCCCACTTGGTCCCAGAGAAAGAGAAGGCTACTGGGTGTAAAATCATAGGCTGGTTAACACGTCTGAGTTAGAGCCGTCTTTTAAAAAAGAGTAATTGCCRTTTTGTTCTGTCTCAAAATAGAAGGAAGCTGCAAAAAATCCTGCAGGCGATAGGACTGCAATGAAGCTGTTAAATTCTGACATCAGCTTGGTGCAGGCCTATGTCAGGGCAATTAAAGCTGCACCATGCTGCACTGTGCAGTACCACTGTCACCCTTAATCTGCACACTGATGAGCAGCACAAAATCCAAGTTACAGCCCACAGGAAGCACAACCAGTGAACCCATATTGCTTTGACAGTTGCACTCATCTAGAAATAATGCAAAACGCTATTTAGATGTATACATCACGACCCTGTGCTCTAGGAAGAAAACAATCTAATGAGGGGCTGGGAGACTCCTTGCAGACAACAAGCAGCAAAGACATTGGTGGTGGTGGGTTTCTTTCCTCCCCTCCTTTTAGAATTCCTCATATTTTATCCTGTTGGAGCGTCGTGTTGGGGTTGGTTTCACCAAGCTGTTCTTTGCCTTTACAGCCTCACTGAAGAACTTGAAAACAGATGGAAAACTCTTCCAGGAAGTTAGTTCATGGCGTTCCGTACCTGCAAAACACAAAGGTGAAAGTTTGACTAGGGGTCATCTTGTGACTTGCCAGCTGTTCACAGGGTATATGCAGCGTAAATGTCCCTTACAATGTAAAACCCAGGGAAGCCATCCAGCCGATTTCAGCTGGCCTGGAGGGGGCCTGGGGAGGGGCAGGGCTGTCCTGCTCTCGGGCAGCTGAACAGGAAAAACTGTACACTCATGCAGACAGACACATGCACATGCACAGCCACCCATACCACAAGCCAGAGATCCTCAACATATCTCGTACCTGGGAGAGTAAGATCCCAAAGTATCCTGCCAATAAAAGCTTCATTGAAGCACCTCAGCTATCTGGCCTATGTTGGGAAAGCAGTGTCTACTTTTYGGGCATACTTTGTATTGTTTATTTTTTCATTTTACACTGCTTTTAGCCTGGCATATGCATTTTTACGTGAAAGAGAACACTTGATCTGAACTACATCTCATGCATTACAAAGGCATCCTTTGTGCACCCGTTCCATAGGTGTATAATATGTCAATAATATTGAGACAGTGAAGTGGATCTTTCCTGTTTATATCTTCCCTCTGCAAACAGATTCACCTCTGTTTTGTTTTTTTTTTTTTTTT